TCAACTCGTTTCTCCGCGCAGCAGCCTTGTTCGTCAAGGTTCGTGTTTCGGAGTTATAGAGTTGATAGAGGGTTATAGCCACAAAATAAGTAGCCTCCTTGTCTGTAGTGGCCTTCTCGGCCTTGAGGAGGTAAAGTAAAATAAAAAATAAAAAAAAATTAAACAAAAAGTTCTTATTAAATACCTTATTCTGAGGAAAAGTAATATGATCAGTACTGATGTAATATGATCAGGCACATAGATAAATGTAATATGATCAGGCACATGAACTACTGATAGAATGTTAGACTTTATTTAATGACACTGTTAAAGATTTGCCAAAAGTCCTTAGAACTTAACATCTGAGAAAAGATTTAAAAACTAAGAATACAGGAGCTTAGCATCAGACAGGACCTTTTCACATTGACTTCTTGCTATAATAAAAAGATATTTGTTCTCAAAAGAGATGTTCTTGTAAAATAGATTAAAAAAATGATTATAGTTTAATATAGCAATGGGTAAAAAAAAATATATATTTATCCAAATAAAATAATCTATGAGAATCTATGAAAATATTTTGTTTAAATAAATCATCTTTTGTTTATATTCAACTTATATATTGTATTCAAAGTTTGAATATAATATATATAAATATGTGAAATTGAAACTAGTTGTTTGAATTTCAACATTCAGAGCCTAAATCAAAGGTAAAAAACCTAAAGTAGAATGAGACTAGAATTAAAACCAAAGAGAAGAAATAAAAGCTTCAATACCTGGTTTGATTTAGGAGATTAGATAAGAGGCACATTTATGCATACATAATATGGATATATATGGGTATAAACATACTTTTGTTATTTATTTTGATGCTGGCATACAATATTATTACATATTTACAAAAACTTTAGTATTTACATGGTGTAGTATTTGATGAAAGAGAAGATGATGATCAGGTGAATGTGAAGTATGACTCTAACAAGACAAGAAAGAAGCTATAATTTTAGACAAAGATTAGAAAAACAATGCATCGAACAACGTTTGTTAGAGAAGATTAAAGTGGTTTGGGTATCAGCATGTAGAGGTAGCAGTTTTAGGAGAAAATGGTAGAAGTAGAAGTAAGAAAACTTGAAAAGACTGTATTACATCTGGTTTAAAGGAGCTTTAGTTAAGGAAAAAAATGCTTGAGATGTTATTTATATTAGAGAAACAGCATGAAAGTGGAATATAAAAATTTGACAATGATAAAGAAAATGATGATAACAATAAGGATGATAATGAAGATGATAATGATAATGATGATCATGTTGATCATTGTGATGTTTATATATAAATAAGCATACATATATAAAATACAACATGAACTTCAAATTATATTTCAGGATAAATCAATGTTTATGCAGCTCCAGTCACAAACCCAGCCCCAGCTCTAGCTGTTTTTATCAAACCTGGCCCTGGCATTGGTCAAATTTCAACCTCAATCACTTACTAATAGCTACTATATGGCCTTCTATATAGCTTCTAAATAGGCCAATACATAAGTTACCACATAGTTAATAAGCTACCAGTCTACTACATAGCTATTATACAGCATGCTACTACAAAAACTGTTATATAGCTACTATATAGCCCATGGCCGGCAATATCGCTCCTATATAGGCATGCAGCCGGTTACATGCCTTTATATAAAATATATACATGTATAAAGTATATATTTTATATAAAGTATACATGTGTATAAAGTACAATATATGCTGTGAATTAATTTTGATAAAAATTTATACGTTAATTTTAGTGATTTAAAATCAAAAGTTGGAAAAAACAAAACAATTGAACTCAAAAAAAATAATTTTAGATTAAATATATTATTTGATTTTTGTGATATCAAATCAAAGGTTGTACACATTAAAAAATTTAACTTGACATCAACCATGTCAAATAAACTACCCGGGAGAATAACTAACAATCATAAATAAGAGCATTAAACAGTCTCTAAGCACATTAAACTGTACTATTTATATATGGAGATACCAAATGTTTTTTAACAGACTTTTAATTAAATATTATGTTAAAAAGAGAAGCAAATGAGATTTGGCAGTGGTAGAGTTTGGTTACTTTTTTAATTTTGTTTTCAGGTTTATGGTAAAAACAGTATGGAACTTATAAGTATATTTAAAATACATTAAACCTGGTTTTTGGACAGGTGTTTGTCCATAAATCATCATCAGTTTTAACTACTTTTTATCAGCCTTTATAAATTTTAATGTTAATGTCATATTTACACACTACTTACAACTACCCGAAAACTGACTGGGACTTTTTTCATGATTTTCATCATGACGGTCCTTGGGCTGATGTCTTTTCCCTCTCAGCTAAAAAATGTGCCTCCTATCAAGCCTCCTGGATTCAGCCAGCAATGGATGCTTTTATTCCTTCTCATTGGTTCCAAGTCAAGCCTCATTCTACTCCATAGTTTTCACCCTCTTGTGCAGCTGCTATATCTAATCCTAATCATTGTTTTCACCTTTTTTAAAAGAACAACTCTTTTAAAAAACAGCTATTTATTATTCCAAGAAATCGATGTAAAAAGGTGCTGTCAGATGCTAAGCTCCATTATTCTCAGTTCACTAAATCTTGTATCTTATCTCAGAAGTTAGACTTAAGAAACTTTTGGAAAATCTTCAACAGCGTTATTAACAAAGGAAGGTCTAACATTCCATCTCTCATTAATGGGACTGATTTTATTACCTCTCCCAATGAAAGGGCTGAACTATTTGCAGAGAACTTCTCTTCTATTTCGACTCTCCAATCTTATAGCCATTCTCTTCCTTCCATTCCAATTATACAGGTTAACCCATTGTTAGACATTCAAATCACTCTAGCTTCTGTTGCTAAAGTCATATCTCTATTAAACTTTTCTACGGCTTGTGGTCCATACAACATTCCTGTCATAGTCTTACAAAATTGTTCTCCAGAACTCTCTTTAAATCTCTCTAAACTATTTAGTAAGTGCTTGACTGAGTCTTGTTTTCCTACCTACTGAAAAATGATATCTGTTGTCCCAATTTTCAAAAACTCTGGTAAATATTGTGACTCCTCCAATTATTATCCGATCAGTCTTCTTTCTGTTATTAGCAAGATTTGAGTTTTTGATAACAAATTTCTCACGTCCCATCTTGACTTAACTTACTGTCAGACAATAATAATAAATAACTTATTAATAATAATAAATAACTGTCAGACAATAATAATAAATAACTGTCAGACAATAATAATAAATAATTGTCAGACAATAATAATAAATAACTGTCAGACAATAATAATAAATAATTGTCAGACAATAATAATAAATAACTGTCAGACAATAATAATAAATAACTGTCAGACAATAATAATAAATAACTGTCAGACAATAATAATAAATAACTGTCAGACAATAATAATAAATAACTGTCAGACAATTTTTGATCCTTTTGCTCAAAGACTTGCTAACTGCTGTGACTCAACAATTTATCGTACATTAGGTTCTTACCCTTCCAATTATCGTCCAATCAGTCTTTTTTCTGTTATTAGCAAGGTCTTTGAGTCTTTGATAAACAAATTTCTCACATTTCATCTTGAGTCAAATAACTTGCTGTTAGACAACCAATATGGTTTTCGATACTCTCACTCTACGGCTGACAAACTAACTGCTGAGAATGAAAGATTTTATTGTGCATTAGATAAAGGTGGAGAGGCTAGAGTTATTGCTCTTAATATATCCAAGATTTTTGACGAAAGTTAGCATGTTGGTCTTCTCCATAAGCTTCTTTCATATGGTGTATCTGAGAAAATTTTATAGATTATCAAATCATTTCTTTCTAACCACTTTATTAAAGTTGTCCTGGAAGGCCAACATTCTTCTTTATTTCCTGTAACTTCTGGGGTGCCTCAAGGTTCTATCCTTGGTCCTATTTTGGTTTCTTATCTACATTAATGATCTTCCGACAACCTTACATCTAAAGTAGCTCTTTTTGCTGATGACTCAACTTTATACTCCCTGTCTTGACAAAAAGTCTTCTCTTTTTGAACAGGCAGCCAATCTTGAATCTGATCTCACTTCTGTAAAAAATTGGGGCTCACAGTGGCTTATTTTTTTAGTGGCTAAATTTTTACTCCAACAAAATCCAGTTATTTACCGCAAACAACTATCACAGTACTGTCAACATTCCTATATTGATGAATGGCAACCCTCTCACTGAGTCCTCTAGTTTACATCTTTTTGGATTATCATTTACTACTGATCTTTCATGGAAACCATATATATCATATATATAATTGAATACTAAATTAGCATCTGCTAAAATTGCTTCTCTTTATCGTGTTTGCCATTTTCTTTCTCCTGATTCCATTCTCTAACTCTACAAATCTCTTATTCGTCCCTATATGGAATACTGTTGTCATATTTGGGCTGGTTCTTCTAATGATGCTCTTTCTCTTCTACACAAAGTCCAAAAACGCATTGTAAATATAGTTGGACCCGGTCTATCTGCTAAGCTTGAGCCTTTTTCCCATTGTCGTAAAGTTGCGTCTCTTTCTCTTTTCTACAAATACTATCATGGCTGCTCCTCAAAGGAACTTTCATCTCCAAATTCCATCAACCAAAACTCATTCTCGCTTGACTTGTCATTCATCAAAGTCTCGTTCTATTACTCTATCTCTCCCAGAATGCTCCAAAAACTTCATCTAGCTTTTTTCCCCGCACTTCAACCCTTTGCAACTCTCTCCCATCTTCATGTTTTCCTGACTCATACAACCTTCAACTTTTTAAGTATTTTGTCAACCATTTCCTTATCTATAACTCTTTTCTTTTTTTCTAGTAACTCCCAACTTAATAGTGGTTGCTTGCAACCTTGTTGGGAATAAATCAGAATAAAAAATATATTAACTTATGATATTATTTTAAATTTAAATCACCATCTTCATGAAACAAAGAACACAACTCAACTCAAAAAATTAAAATCATTAAAAGTAGAATTACTTACTTGCCCTGAATTTGAAAACTTTCCCCATACAATACGATTTGCAGCAATATCTAAGTTAGACGCTTTATCAACTATTGCTGGACTAAATTAAAAAATTTTATACATGATAATTTAAGAAACAACATACAAGAAAAATAATAAATAAAAAATCCTATCTCTATCCTTCATTGTATACTATAAACAAATGTCTAATCCACCGCTTCTATTTCAACAACACACCCATAAAAATTGTTATCTGGTAAAATCTATTTTTTTTATTTAATGTTATTCACCTCCCAAAGACAGAGAAGGCCACTACAATAGAGGCTATTTTTTGGGGTTACAATCCTTTCTTAACTCTTTAACTCCAAAACACAAATCTTGGCAAACAAGGCCACTGCATCGAGAAACAAGTTTAGCACTGTACTACCAGATGTGGTGGGAATCGAACTTGGAAGTTTTTGCTTATAAAGCAAGTACTCTACCACAACACAACTACTGCATTAACAAACTTATATAAATATATACTTATATATACTGCATTATACTTATACAATTATATACTTATATATAAATATATACTTATTTATACTGCATTATACTTATATAAAAATATACTTATATATAAATATACACTTATATTATAAATATATAACGCGGTAGGGTTTGCTTCATAAGCGAGAGCTTCCAAATTCGATCCCCTCCACGCCCCTGGTAATACTGCGCTCAACTTGTTTCTCCACGCAGCCGCCTTGTTTGTCAAGGCTCATGTTTCAGAGTTATAGAATTGAGAGAGGGTTATAATTACGTAGCCTCCTCGTCTGTAGAGGCCTTCTTGGCCTTGCGGATGTGAATTTAAAAAAATAAAAAAAACTGCATTATACTTATATAAATATATACTTATGCTACTATAGAAGTTTTGTTTATATACCACAAAAATTGCTGTTATAAATCATACACCATACACATGAAATATTGAACATATCAATACATATAAATTATCATTATTTCAGATATATAAATATTAAACTTTATAAAGATTTAAAAATGTACCATTTTCCACCCATTTCAAGTGTGACTGGAGTAAAATAGTTACTTGCTGCTTTAAGAATAATTTTTCCAACATTAGTACTACCAGTGTAAAAAATGTAGTCAAATCTTTCACGAAGGAGAGCTGTAGTTTCTGGAACTCCTCCATTTATAACTCTGATACAATCCTAAAAAAATTCAATATGTAATTTTTTCTAATCATAAAATTAACTAATTGGGATCAATTTTAGGAGAAAAGCTTTTTAAAACAATTTAATTTATCTAAAAAAAGAATATAAATCAGATGACCTTTAAAAATCTTTGTAAAGAAGTTTAGAAGTCTGAAGCCTGGAGATTTACTCCAAGACCTCAATAAGATAAAAATTAACAATAATTACATTATCCATATATTTAGGAATGAGATGCTCAATTACAGCTGCAGTATTTGGTGCTAACTCTGATGGTTTTATTACACAACAATTACCTAAAAAATAATCAACTATTTTAATAACTTTTATTGTAAATATTTTGTATTATACATAAGTGTTATGTAGTAAATAACAATTATATTGTGTTTAAAGGAATTCTGTAGCTGTGGTTTCTATATTGCACATTTTTGTTATATTCTTGATACTTTAATTATACTCATTGTCATTTAAAAAAATTTATATATTTGCTGAAAAAGTTTAATAAATAAAAAAAATTACAACTATTGGTTTGTCCAAATAATCTTTTTTTGCAGTAATTTTTTTTAGTAACATTTTTAACATGTTTGAATATTCCAAATATCAAACTTGTTTTATCATTTAACAGTATAGACTCTACAGTATTTACTCTATTATTATTATTTTATTTTCAATATTTTTTTCAACATTTTTTATCAGAACTTTATTAAAAGAGTTGCGCGATATTCAGAAAAAAAGATCATAACCAATATTTGATCTTGTTATCTTTTTAATAATTTTTTTAATAATTACTTAATTTTTTTAATAATAATTTTGCTACACTAAATCTTATTTAAGATTTAGTGTAGTTATTATAGAATTTCTCAGTTCGCCTTTTTTTTTAATTAAATTTTTTTTTTTTTTTGTGGTTATTAAGGATAATAACCACAAAAAAAAAATAAGCATAACTATACAATTGCATAATTTAATCAATGTAATATTTAACTTATCTCAAACATTCCAACAAGCTAGAGCTTCAAATTTGCAATAATTACACAGGCCAACAGCTATTTTGGTGCAGGGGTATTTGCAGCAAATTTTATATGAGTTTGATGCCCTGAACTCAAATATACCATTAGATTTTGCTAATCAGCTCGCATTTTTGAGATCATTTTAATGAAATAAGAAACGCCAATGAGGGGGCTAGGGGGGCAATGGCTCCTTTACCCTAAAAAACAAAGATTTTTTATACCTTTTATGAAAATGGTTTTTATCCTTTTGAAAAGGGTTTTGATTGGGATCAAATTAACAAAATAAACATGAAATTTTGATTAAATTTTGATTATTATGCTATAGAAATGTATAACTATTTGGTATATTACACTCTGTTATATATATAGTTATTATATGTAAAGACAAAAGAATAATTAGACTTGATTTGGTATCACTAATTAACATTTTACCTAATACCTAATACAAATCTTCTAATGATTTTTAACCATGATTATTAAGGCAGAGTAATATATCATAAGTGGTTATTAAATTCACTTGTTTAGCATAAGAACCTTACTATTTAATAGAACTTTTCTCATTACGCTTTGTTTTCTAGCAGAGCAGTATATATGTTTATCTTTTTTTTTTTTGTATGATTATGCATTTAAAAGTCTGTTATTAGCTTTTGTATGTTTTACTTAGACTACAATCTAAATGTCTTTTGAACACAATATTCAATGTGTTTGAAATATATTCATAATGAATTTTACATGTTCAGGAAAATCTTCAGCATCAAGATCACCATTAAATCACAGTGTGGATGCAATGGAACTCAATGTAACTTTAATTATTAAAAATTGTACTATTTAACCATATTTCCTCTTACAATAGAATTTTTTATCTTTTCTGAAAATTTTTTATATTTTTCTATATTTATTTATTTTTTCAGTTCATGTTGTAAATACCTTCCCCTAAGAACTGAATGCTGACTTGCAAGCCTTATCTATTAGCATTTTTTGTTTTTAACTTCAAATTTATTTTTACCTGTATGAAAATTCTAGTTTTTGTAAAAAAACTTTTTTCATACAAATTTCAAAAATTACAAATTCATTTGGTTTAATAATTGGTTTTGCACGTCAACTACTTAAGCTTGTGCAAATTGATCCAAGTCTATAAATTTCATTTGATCTTTTCTCCAAAATATTTGGGTTTTTTTTACACCTTTATTCATTTATAATATTTGCAAATTTGAACTCTCTTTTTTCTAAAGAGTTATAAATAAAAAACATCTCCTGTATTATAAGGTATTATCTATAAACTTAATGTACACAATTTAGGAGCACCTAAGTGATATGATCAAAGTGAAATGACCAAAGTATATAAACAGTTTGGAAAAAGATTTTAAAAGTTTTTGCTTTGTCATAAAAAAGTTTAAATTTATTTATTTTTAAATATTGGATAATGCTTTAAAAGATTATTGTTTTATCATACTCTGTTATTCATATTAATTTAGTCTAAAAATAAAGAATTGAACAATGATATTCACAGGTTAAAATCATGACCTAATTAAATTTATATAAATATAATTACATAAATTTATATAAATATAATTATATAAATTTGTGTTTTATTCTAAAGAATAATATTTGTTGTTTAAACAGTTGAGTTGAAATGAATGAAAATGAACAAATAAAAATGGGAAGTATGCTAACAGAATTTATGAAAGTTGGTTTGGTTTCTGAGGCTGAAAAGTTTTTTTGAAAAAACATTAAAAAAAAGTTTTTTCTGATTTTTATTTTATTCTACTCAATACAAAATGATTACTTTATAAATTTATTTTAATTTATTTTAAGAAGACTTATTTAATTAGAATTTTGCATTTTTAATATAGTTATTTGAACAATGGAAAATTTATTAAACTTGAAAAAAATGATTTGAAAGAAGTAAAAAAGTCTGTCTGCTAAAAAGTTGAATTCACAGAAACAGACTGTGGTGCATACATAATTGATCTTTCCAAAGATCTTCGAAATATACACAAAATTGATCCTGAAAAAGCAAGAAAAGCTAGTGGAATTTTTTATATAAGAAAAATGAGATCCTCAGGTGGAGAAAAAGCAAAAAAAAAAGACAAAATACATATATCCTATATGTAGTATTGTTACAAAAAATATACATGATGATCTGAATTGAGCATCATCTTAAAAATGATTTAGCAACATAAAGAGAAATGCTTAAGAAAATCAACTTTATGAAGGTAATATGTCAGTATTTGAATTTACCAAAACAAATTCTACTTTACCAATTCAATAGGGTCAGGATTTATCACAAAATTACCAAATGAAGTAGGCTATTTCAAAACATCTTGCTTGCCAAGATGTTTTGAATCAAACCTAACGAACCCAAAATAATTTAAATCGAACCTTTGAACGAACCTAAAAGCAATAATGATAACAATGATGATAATTTTAATGAAGCCAATACTATGATTGAAAAAGGAGAAAATAACATTCTATGTTTTCAAGATTATCTTCACACATTTCTTCTTCACTTAAAAAATGTCCATTCAGAGGTAAGAAAGACCCAAAAGCTGCATCAAATGAAATGCATTAAATCAGAAGAATAATGAAAGTCATTTTACCAAATGCTCTAAAGCTACCCAACCTGACTATTCTATGTTACACAAGTATATTAAACCTTAAACTCGTATAAGATAAATAATTTCCTTACTCAACAAAAAGGTTACAAGCCAGGCACTTAATATTCTTATTTGTTATCATTAAGCCATTTCGTAAATTTTCTTCTATGCTCTAAACTAACTTTTAATGTTCCTAATATTGTTCCTTGCCTTTTATCCGATGTTCTCAATGTTTGTCAGAAAGAAATTAGTAATTGAAAAACCTCTTTGCGTGGTGAAGAAGCACTAAGAGAATATGGTGTAATGATGGCAGATGCTGAAAATATAATTCCGAAGAAATCTTTTCAAGTTATAACTAAAAGTGATTTTTATCAAGATATTGTCAAAAATGTTGAATATATTTACAATAAGTACAAAAACAGAACGTCCTAGTTTCTAGTTACTTGAACTCTGTTTACAAATATTAAAGACTGTATTTTTTTTTGGCTTATAACCAATAATGTTTCATGGTCTAAAGCTGTCTTAAGTATGACAGCTTTAGAATTTTGAAAAGGAACTTATACACCAACAGGAAGTTTTATCATTTTAGTGAGGAAACATAAAATTGCTAAACAATACAGTCCATGCCAAATTATATTAAACCTGATCTGAAAGTTATGTGTGATTGTTATGATCAAATTATATGCATCGCGATTCCAAGTAAAATGTCTAAAAACTTTTTTATAACGTGGTCATTTGAATCTTGCAGTGTTTCAACCCAATTAAATTCTTTTTTTTTGAAACATTTACCAAATAAAGGTTCAATTGAAAAGCAATGCAGTGCTATGATGGTTCGAAAAAGTCTGCTTACTTTTTTTTTATGACAACCATCCTGAATTTAAAAGCAAGTTAGTAACCTATATGAAACATAAAAAAACAACTGCTCAACCGTGGTACTACCTAAATAAAAATAAACAAGATACATGCAAGGCATCTGAAAAAAGTTACTGAAACTTTATTTGGAGACATCAAAGTTGTCCTAAAGCACAAAGTCTAAACTCAGAATTCAGTTTGCCCTAACTCAATCCCTAAACCAAGAACTCAGCTTAAACAAATGTCATAAGAACTCAAACTCAGTTTGAGTTCTTATGACATTTGTTTAAGCTAAGTTCTTGGTTTAGGGATTGATTTAGAAGCAATTTCTTCAACTTTCTTAAACGTTAGAAGCAATTTCTTCATTCACCATATGCCTGGACCAGACAGGTCCAGGCATATGGTGAATGAAGAAATTGCTTCTAAAGTTTGAATTTCTAAAGTCATGGATTCCACAAAAGTATGGTTCCCTGCACTTGCATTCTAAACTGATAAAGGCAACACATGACTTACAAAAAAAAACTTGTGGTCGCTGTTGGTGACAACACCAGTGTCAAAATTCTTTGTGTACCTGCTTATCAACCAGAAACAGATCAACGATCTGGAGATCACAGTTCCTCATAGAAGCAACGTGACATTCAGTCCATTCAACTCTCAACCTTTCTCAAATGATTCACAAACTGTTTCTCAGATTACTATGTGGAAGGAAAGTGCAGAAGTAGCTGCTGAATCTTCCATAGAGCATCAGCAAGAAGACTATAAAGAATTCAGTGAATTATGTTTGCTGTACCTTGATCCAGAAAACAGATAGTTTCCCTTTCGTCAACTGGGTGAAGTTCA